AGGACACTGGAAGTGGCTGTCAGAGTCTTTGCTAAAACATCATAGCAGCAGACTCTAGCCCCGGTTTTAGCAGAGACTTTGTTCTCTGAAACTTCTTGAGCCAGGCCTCCATAGTACATATTACTCTCAGCACTATTTTGATGTGGAACAAGGCTACACAGTCTTCCAGATTCTTTCTAGAATAATCAATTAAGCCCTGCTCACAGCATTCGAATGTTTTTCTCGTCCAAAGTTGGGAAGTCTTCCACATTCCTCTCCCAACGAACATGGTCAGGCTCTTCGCAGCAACAACCCCACTGCTCCTGGCACCAACTTCTGTATTATTTATTTATTATTGCTGTGATAAAACACCACAACCAAAAGAAACTTAGGTGGGAGTTTATATGGGCTTATGGACCCAGTGAGAAAGAGAGACTATAATGGCAGAGGAGGCATGACAACAGGCATACGGAGCAGGAAGCTGAGAGACCACATCTTCAACCGCAAGCATGAAGCACAGGATCTGCAGTCGATGTAGCGTCAGACTACAAACTCCCAAAGACTGTCCCCGGTGACATATTTTCTCTACCAAGTCTCCACTTACTGGAGCTTCCATAACGTCTCCAAATATCACTGCCAACCGGAGAACCAGTTTTCAAATACCCGAGTCTATGGACGACATTTCTCATTCAAACAACCATGCATACAGACAGCGTAATATACATCTCTCGAGATTCTCCCATGTTCAATTCCAGTACACACAAATGAGAATCATGGATCTACCACGGGCTATCCTATCTCATACCTCACCCCTAAAGTACATTCTGACCCCCCTGACTTTACTGAGTCCTGCCATATCTGAATAGTAATCCTGAATACTGTCATAAAACCCCTAAAGCACACAAGGAGAGACAGACTCAACACTGGCTGTAAGTGGAGCACTGATGGTAAAGATGTGGCTGTCTTGTTGACTCCTAGTGTTAGGATCTTACATTGCAGTTTGGTGCAGTTTCTGCCTCCTTCCTGATGTAACACTCTTAGAAACAAGTTGCTCAGGCAGGAAGGTTCTATAGATATTCAAGAAGTTTTCACTTCTGAAAATTCATCTTGGCCTAGAGATGAGGAATGTGAGCCAACTCATTATCTTCCTCTGAGCATATGTGGATGCTGGTTCCAAGCCTGTCTTCCCAGCTCTCTCTGGCTCTAGAGAAAAATGAGCATTTGCATTGCCAAAGGTTCAGGTTCAGTGTATGTGGCCCAAGGATCAGGCACATTGAAAGTTGGTGGTTCAAGACTGGATTTAGATTTGGGGACTGATTGAAAGGTCACACTGATTTGTCAAATTTCCCTATCCCCTTCATTCCATTACATTGCCTCTGCCAATTTAAGGTCTTTATTGAGTGTCTTCTGGGCTATTACAGTCTTCTCTCAGGGAGCTGTCCCTGTCTCTAGCCTGGCCTCCTTCACAGCATCGTTTACATTGTGCAAGCTTGACTTCTGCTAATTGCAAATCATCCTGTGGCAGAAGCCTCTAAGAGCCAAGCATTGTCTGAAGAATCCATGTGTAACACAGAATAATTAAAGCAAGTTAATTCTCATATTTGTCATCCAAATATTTGTTTATGGTAAAATTTGAGGTTTATTTTTAGAGGGGCTCAGAAGATAGTTGAATCTGTGAAGCGATTGCCTTGCAAGCGTCAGAACCTGGATTTGATCCCCGACACCATGGGCATAGTGACACACACTTGTAATCAAGGCAGTGCAGCAACAGTGACAGGCAGGTTCTTGGGGCTTGCTGACCACCCACCATTCAGGCAAATGAAGGCTCTATCTCAAAGGAGGCAGAGGACATTCCTGAGGATAGCACCTGAGTGTGCTCTCTAGCCTCCACATTCATGAGTGCCCAAGTGCATGCACACGCAGACACAGACATACAGACACATACACATACACACGTGAAGATTGAAATTTAGAAATAGTAAGTACGTACTTAAAGCCACTACTACACTAACATAAAAACTCTATCAAACCCAACCAAAAAGAAAATTTGTAGTACAATCTCCTTGATAAGTATAGATACAAATATTCTTATTAAAGTGCTTGCACATTGAATGCAAGATCATGTCCAAAAGACCATTCACCATGATCGAGTTGGCTTTGTTCCAATTGTGCAAGGATAGTTCAACACAGAAAAATCAATAAATGTAAACCAAACCTCAGTTTGGTTCCTGGTACCTACAATGGTTGACTAATCACTACCTGCAACCATAACTCCAAGAAATATTCTCTGTTTTCTTCTGGCCGTCATAGTCACTCTTGAGCACGTGGCGTACACACACACACACACACACACACACACACACACATATTTTAAAAAAGTAAATGTGATTACTCACACAAATAAAACCAAAACTCAGAAATCATATGATCATTTCAGTATCTATAGAAAAAGTTGTCAATAGAATCTGACATCTCCACATAGTAGAGCTCTTAAAAGAATAAAGATGTAGGGGGATCTTATTTTAACATAATAAAAAACTGTTTATGATAACCCTATAGCCAACATCATGAAAAGTTGAAGCATTTTCGAAAAGATCAGGAATAAGAGGTGTCTAGTCTCTCTACTATCATTAATATAGTGTTTGAAGCCTTAGCTGGAGGAAAATAAAAAATAAAGAAATAAAAGGGATACAAGTAGGAAAAGAAGTTAGAGTATCCATATTTGCAGATGGTATAATTATATACATAAGTGACTTTATTTATTCACTAGAAAACTCGTAGAGTTGATAAATAATTCCAGCAAAATGTCAGGATACAAAATTAACCTATAAAACTCAGTAGTCAAGTATACTGAGAAAGAAATTAGGGAAATAATCACATTCACTATAGTATCAGAAAATTAAAATACGTTATAATAAACTTAACCAGGAAAATTAAAGAATTCTACAATGAGCATCTTAAAACATCGAAGAAAGAAACAAAAGATGAGAAAATGGAAAGACTTCCCATGCTTTTACAGCTGAAGAATTATCATTGTAAAATTTGTCATTCTACCAACAGCAATCTATAGATTAAGGAAGATTTCTGTCAGACTTCCAAGACCATTCTTCACACAGAAAAAGAAATCTTGGAATTTACATCAGGGAAATGATGGCCTAAGCTACTCTGAACAAAAGAATACTGCTGAAACAGCAACACATCTGATTGCAAGTTATACTACAGAACCATAGTCATAAAAACGGCATCATATTGACATAAAATAGACAGATCAATGGGATAGAATTGTGAACCCAGATATAAGCCTACACATACATAGATACATAAAATTTTAATTAATTAAATGTATTCTTTGATAATTTCACTCATGTACATAATACTAACCACTCTCCCTCCCACCCTCTCCCTTTCTCCCACTATCCCGATCTCCTCCCTTATTCTTTTCTTAACTCTTTCTCAGTTTAATATTCATTCTTCTTGTTTTATGACCCAGCAAGTTTAACATGCCATCTGCATGACCATAGGTTTGGAGCTGTCTGCTGGAGTATGCTCAGCAGCGGGGACACAGCTTAAGACAATGACTTCTCCTCTCCCAGAATCTATCAACAGCCAACAGTTCAGCAGTAAGATCCATACCCCACCCCTTCCAGTCTGTGACTGATTGAGAACGGCTTTTCATAATCCTTTACCATATCTTCTGGCTTTTACATATTCCCCTCTCCCTCTTTCCTAATGTTCCTGACCCTAAAAAAGTGTGGTGTAAATGTCTTATTTAAGGATAAGACTTCAACTGTCACTTATTCTCAGTATCTTTGGTGTCCAGGAGTCTATTCACCACCATTCCTTGCAAAGAAAGTTTTCACTGATTAAGACTGGGAGTAGCTCTCGTCTTTCTATTGATATAAACACAGAGATTTAGGAGCATTTTGACACTGTATAAATGCAGACAAACAACAGTAGTAAATCACCCTCCCCAACACTAAGCTTGGGCCTATGACCTCCCTAGTTATGGGTCCCCCCCCCAATGAAGGAAACACCATTTCCAGTAAAGGAGGTTGATTATCTGAACAACAGTCATGCCAGTATGTATAGATGAGCACAACACTCCTGGCAGATGGATTTTGTACTTTATCGGGTTCATAGCTGGGTAAAACTGCTGAAGCTTTCCCCTCCCCAGGAGCTTGTATAGTGTCCATAAGTACTGTGAAGGCTAGACAGAGGGAGGAAGTTCCCATCTCAGTCACAGCCTGATTTCTCTCTATCTTGTAACTGTGTGTGGTGTCTTCATCAAAATCCACCTCAGTTTTCTAGTAACCAAGAGCACTGTCAAGAGTCTGGATTATCTGGGGTCACTCGGGGGCCTCTCTGGCCAGTTTCAGGAGTATTCTGTCTTCTGGGACTACAAATTTTGTTTAATAACCCACCGGATTATCTAGCTATGCAAGAAATTCCCCTAGGTCTCTTTTGTACATTTTAATTTGGGTTATAAGAAATTAGGTTTCCATAAACCTCTCCTAATCTCAATTTCTCCATCTCTTTCCCTGTTTAAACATTTTCATCCCCAGCAGTCCTCCACTCTACTTCCCTTTTGTCTATATTACACTACCGCTTCCCTACTTTAAGGCACCCCCCACAATGTCCCCTTCCAAGTTTTCTGGCTTCTACAGCACTGTTTGTTATTGTGAATAGAGAGCATCAGTGAACATGGATGGGAAGGTATCAATGTGGATAGGGTCCTTTGGTACATGCCTAGAAATGGTGTAACAGGGTCATAGGATAGATTCATTTTTAGGTTTCAAGAAACTTCCAGACATATTTCCAAAGAGTTAACACTAGTTTACACTCACACCAACAGTGTGTAAGGGTGCTCTTCTCCCTACATCATGCTGGTATTCATTATCATTTGAATTCTTGATAATAGCTATTCTGGTAGGGCAAGATAGAACCTAACAATAGTTTTCATCTTTATTTCCATGATGATTAAGGATGTTGAACATTTTTTAAGTGTTCACTATCCATTCATATTTATTTATTTATTTATTTATTTATTTATTTATTTATTTATAGAAATCTGTTTTTTTTTTTTCCATAGCTCATTCTGTAGTTGGTTGGTTGGTTGTCTTGGAGTTTAGTTTGGGGTTCTTTATTCTTCTCACAGGCATGTAGTTAGAAAACACTTTTCCCCATTCTCTGGGCTGGGTTTTCACTTGACTGGCAGTTTCCTTTGCTGCACAGACGCTTTTTAGTTTCATGATGTCTTGTTTATTTATGTATGTTCTTATTTCCTGCATTACCAAAATCCTGTTGAGGGAGTCTCTATCTGAACCTCACTGTTGAGGTGAGTAGGTGAGTGCCTTCCCATTTTCTCTAGTAGTCTCAGAGGATCAGATTTGATGTTGAAGCTTTTGACCCATCTCCAGCTTATTTTTGTGCAAGGTGAGAAATACGAATCTCATTTCATTCTTCTGTAGGTTGATATACAGATTTCTCAACACCAGGTACTTGATTTTCAACAAAGATGCCAAAAATACACATTAGAGAAAAAACAAACCAGCATCTCCAATAAATGGTGCTGGAATGCTGAGCATGAACGGAATGCGCTTTATACGTGTATGAAATTGTCTAACAACAAATTAATTTTTTAAATGTCAGCCTAAGTTCTAATAAAAGTTCATTTACAAACACAGGTGGTAAGTAGGATGTGGCCTGTGAGCAATAATTTACTAATCTCTGATCTATTTCAAGGTCAGAGCTCCTGAAAGGCATTCTGCAGGCTTTGCAGAATTTGATATACTCTTTGCTCTTTACTGTGTTGATAAATGCTAAAGATAGATACATGATAGATAGATAGGTAGATAGATAGATAGATAGATAGATAGATAGATAGATAGATAGAAAGATAGATAGATAATTACAGCAATGGCCATTATGGAAAAGCTTTGAAATATGAAAAAATGTAATTATAGATATTTATAAATAGTTCTAAACTGCTAGGAGTCAAAACATCAAGAATTTGGCCATCATTCCCTAATTAGTATGTGGATTCCAAGAAGCCTATCTCGGAGATGTTGTGCCTTATGTACTATGCCTCACTGAATCTCCATCTGTGAGATGTAAGTTTAGATATGGGGTAGATTTCCTTTGTTCTAAATTACAGTTAAGTAATTCAGGAGACAGAAGAAACAGGATCAAACAAATCATATATGTCAAATATCCAAAACAACGGAAAGATGTGATATAACAAATATTTCTGTGATACACAATCAGATAATGCTTGTCCAAAGATGACAATGTCTTGCCCTAGGACATAGAAACATGTTATATAACATAGGAGAGAAAAGTTAAGATTGTGACTAGACTGTCATTACTAAATTAGTTGGTTTTAACACTGGGCTTGTCTTGAATTATTTGTGCTCTAGTTTGAATGTAGTCTAAATGTGCCTCCCAAAGTGTCATGTTCTGGAAGCTTGGTGCTAAGTGTCATAGTATTGAGACGACTGGACAGTAAACAGATAGGTTTACTGTCACAGGATGGACGGCTTTTAAAAAGAGTCATTTGTACACAATGAGCATTATTCAGCCACAGAGAAGAAGGAGATCATGTCCTCTGACAGAAAATGGGTAGAATTACAGTAGACAAAAGAAGTCAGACTCAAAACCATGAACACTGCATGTTTTAGCACACATGCAGAAGCTAGGTTTAAAAAAGGTAACAATTTGAAGCTGGATGTGTCAACAAAGGCCTTTAATTCCAGCACCCGCTAGGCACATTCTGTGAGTTTGAGGCCTACTTGGTTTACATAGTGATTGTGAAGCCATATAGAGCTACATAGTAAGACCCAGCATCCCCCCCCACAAAAAAAATATTGACAGTTGAAGGGAGATTATCAGGAAAGAGGAAGAACAGACCTTGCAGAGTACAGAAGATAAGGGTCCAATGTGGCTAAGGTGCATTATAAACATGTATGAAAATGTAACAACAGAATCTATTACTTGAAAAATTAATGTATGATAAGAATTTTTAGAGGTGTGTGGTGATACTTTATTTGTTCTGAAATGTGATATTTTATTTTTATGTTAATAAGTAAGTTTGCCTGGAGATCAGAGGTCATAGCGAGCTATAAAACAGAAGTCAGGTGGTGGTAGCACATGCCCTTAATCCGATCACATGGCAGGCAGAGTCTGTGTGGTCAAGGACACAGCCAAGCATGGTGACACACGCCTTTAATCCCAGTACCAACCATAGAGACCTGGAGGTCTGTATAGACAGGCAGTGATGAGGAAGTGATATGGCTGGGCTTAGAGCCAATGAGAAGGCAGAACAGGAAGGCAATAAAGGCACAGGTTAGACAGGAAGAAGCTCTCTCTCTGGGCAAGCTACTGCGTGGTGGTAAGCTAAGGCTAGTCATGGCTCTTCACTATTTCTCTGTTCCCTTCAGCTATTGCCCCTGTATTTTGGCTCTGTGTTTCTTATTTAACAAGACTGTTTAGAAATTCTTCTACAGAGGTGAGTTGGGAAGGCCATGATTAGCTCATGAGGGTACCATCTTCAGAGGAGATCAGTGTAGAACTCGGCTGGTTCTGCAGAGGTGCCTGGCTATAAGGGATTCTGGCTATGCTAGGTGCCTCCCTTACACATTTGCCATTTTGATGCCATCACCAAGAAGCCTCACCATAGCATGAACTTGAACCTCCCAATCTGTGAGTTAATGAGCCCCCTTCTTCCCTCCCTCTCTCCCTCCTTCTCTCACTCCCCCCTTCTTTGGTTCTCTCATTTTATTTTTGGCTGTTGTCACAGCTCCTGGGAATACAAGCCCTGGTTGCAGACGTACCGACAAGCGGTTTACCACTGAACCCTAACCCAGTCCTAACTTACACAGTTTAATGTAAGAACAGGAAATGGATTAAGACAACCATAGTGGCACAAATGTGATTAGAAGAGACTGAAGTCGAAGACAGGGGTGGAGGAACATCAGAATCAGAATGAGGGAGACTTAGCCTGGAAATTTTGGCTTTATAAGAAGTGGAAGGGGCCTCCAGCTAAGGAGTGAGGGCAGCTGCAGGAGCTAGAAGGTACAGGGAACAGATCGCCCCGTAGAACCTCCAGGGAGGTCTGGTTCAGAAGTCTCTTCATCTTCAGCTCTGAAAAACAGAGCCATAAAGATGACAGATTTGTGTTGTATTAACGTTAGTTCTATAATCTGGGTTACTTGTGTAAATGACACATAGCCTAATAGAGCTATGTAGACAATTTCTGAACACCTGTGCTTCAAGAGAGGATAAACAGATATCTAGACATGTGAAGTAAGTACAGACCTAATGTCTCTCCAGAAATCTTCTGAAGTGTTGTCAAATAGACCTCACCACCGAAGAGAGAAAGGAAGTCTTATTCTCTTTCCACAAATGATCTTAGGTGTTCCCTTAAATATTTAATTTAAAAATTAATGAAATAAAATTAGACATTTCCAAGTACTCTTAAAAAAATCACCCAGCTAGGAAAATATCATAATACTTAATCAATAAAATGGCCATGAGGGCTAGCGTTCTCTAAGGCTTGGTGGCCAGTATGAAGGGCACATAGCTTATAAAACACCAGCCATAAGGAAAGCATCACTTTGTCTAATAAACAGAAGAACAGCTATACAAACTGATCAATGATGCTATCACCAAGGGAGATATTTGCAGCCTATAATTCCCTGTATTTACTCTCAAATGCAAAGAGAGCTGCTTGTGATAAAGGTACACAATAATAAGGCTTCTTGTTTGTGCCACTACCTCTGTTTAATGCATGACTAAAACAGATCAAATCCTTCAAAGTAAAGTATACGAAAAACAAAGGAAGTGCAAATTGATCTGTCCAAAGCAAAGAGGGAAGAGAGGAAGGGAGGGAGGAAGGGAAGAAGGTAGGTAGGGAGGGAGGGAGGGAGGGAGTCTGGGACACTATGACCTCCACTCCAGCTTCCTCTGAGGACTTTATGAATCCCTCCTAAGTCCTTTCAGACACTTTTAGACTACTTCAGGGCAAGGGCAGGTGGCTACTTGGCCATCATCTAGGGGTTACCTATGTAGCTGGCCTCTTTCTTACACTGTGTATGGGTCTCCAGGTCTCAAAAGGCTGCTGTTCAGTTCACTTAACTTATGCTCTGGAGGAAAAAGAGCCTCTCTTTTCTAACTGTACACTTTAAATATTGTCCTAGGTGCCACGGAAGACAGACCACCTCAGAAATTCTTTAAAGCACATATAGAAATATCAGGTTGATCATTACTATATCATTCAGTAGGCTAAGAGTGCTTAGGATAAAACTATGAAATAAATTTGCATTTCATTTCTTGAAAGCAATTAGCTATTGTCAAAACATCAGTTTTATTTTGTTGTGCAGCTAGGAGTATTATTTTCTAGTTAAAGATCATTCATGAAGCTTAGCAAACATTCCTCAATCTGTAGAAAGCTAAAGCCACCTCCAGTCCTCCACTGTCAAGTCATCCCCAGCTATGACAAGCCTCAGGGTGGTGGGACTGGGTTATGAGGGCAGTGTTTGACAACAAAGCCGCACCCTATATGGTTAATCCAACCTATGGGGACCTTCTCTGAGTCCAATCTGGATCCTCCCAGCTGCCTAATGCACTTCTTCACCAGCAGAGTCTTCATGGAGTCCTGACAGCTCCAGGTCCTGTAGCAGAGATTCAACGCCCTTGTCTCAGCAGATGGTTCCACGGCAGGCTGTTCAGCTTCTGGACGGGGGGAGGATAAAACCATAGACAAGAAAGACAGACTAAGGAGAGTCTTGGAGTCAGAATTCTTCTTCAGGCAACTCATTCTCACATGAGGTCTCATCTCCCTGGTCCTGGCTGCTCACAAGAGCGGGGAGACAGGGCTGAAAGATGGAAGTCAGCCTGAAAGAAGGAGGTTCGTTGAGAGGCCACTGTATAGGGAGAGAGTTTTGAAAAGGACCAGAGGAGATTGAGTTGAGCCAGCAGGTGCTAGTGAGCTCAGTGGAGCAGCTTTGCCATTCTTGCTGGGAGGCAGCAACAAGAGAAAAGGAGACCAAGGTGGCAGGCCAAAGAGCCTGGTGATGTGGGAAGCCTCCTTGATTGTGGCTCGTTCTCTCCTTTCAAACTTTCAAGCACTGGAGCAGTCCAGAGAGAATGGAGGGTGGCATATACTAAGAAGCAGCCTTGAATACAGGCTCACAAACATGAGCAACAGGACCTGTGGCAGCAAGGGCAAAATGCAGGGGTCCTCCTAGTCTCCATAAAAGGTCATTTTCATTGAGCTCTAGGTTGTCACAGTCTTCCCACTCTTTCCCACCAGAGCATGACACTGTTGGATGATGGAGTCCAAATGCATTTGTCCATCTCAGCTTCAGTCATCCACTGAAAAAAAATGTCTAGTCAGTGCTGCTGCTGAAGCTGGGGCCTGAGATCTCACAGCAGGCCCTGGCCTCCCTTCCTGGGGGCTAACGCACCAGAGAGGACCCAGAGTACAAAGAATCTGTTCATAGGTCTGGCCTCTGGATGCCATTCTTGGAGAGCAGAATGGGACCACTTCTCTGTGTTGAAACCATTCTACTAAAAGAGGAGCGTGAGCTATCCCTGGACACCCTTCTGCTGGGGCACCGAAAAGCACTTGGGAGCAAAACACATCTCACAGAAACTTTCTGCTGATTCCAAGGAGAAACGGAAGAAGGATAATAAACAGGGAACTGAAGGAAATGAAAACTGGGGGAAATAACTGGTCCAGAGAGGAAATCCTGGCTAATGTGTCACCCTGGCGAATGTCAAGGGAGCCACCTGTTGAGTGTTTGGTTCAGACGACAAAGCCTTCTCTGGGAGTGACAAACTGCTGCTCAGCAGAGACGGAAACAGTCCATGCTTGGCCAGATCTGCATCCATCCACAGATGCCCTGGGTTGAACTGGCTGGGGTTTTTGGTGTGAGAGCCAAGCTGGAGGGTGAAGCTTCCTAAGACATTCCATCTGCAGTAGTGCACTGTCATTGGCACTGTGAGTCTGGTTCTAACACAGCAGCCCTGCTTACCAACGGGGAATTTCTCCATAAAGCTTCTGCAGAAATGTGTTTATCTGAGTGAATGAGGCTGCCTGAACCCTGTGGTCCAGACCTGGGTTCCTCCAGGGCTCAGGTGGAGCTCTTCTTTCGACTGCAGCCTGTATGCAGAGCATTCATGGGTGCTTTAACTTGGCGAAGCAGACGCTGCCATGCTTTGAAAGCCAAGGAAGACTGCTGGCTCACCTTTGACATTAAAGTCAGACTCTTGAAGTACCACCAGTCCTCAAGTCAGATGAGAAAAATGAGCTGCTGTCTTTATTTAAATCAGTGCACTGAAACCTCAAAGCACACATTGCCCACTATGGTAGTTCCTCATAGTTCCTCAGCGGAGGAGATCCATACAGGGCTGTGTTGTGCCTTAGAAGCATACCATTGGGGCTCAGTTGACATGCACAACTACTGTCCTCTGTTTTGGTTACATTCTTGTCTTCATGCACAAAATGCATGCATACGTATGTGCCCATGTGTGTATGGGTGGAAGGAGAACACTGGTGCATATGCATGCTGAGGTTGCAGATGCAGAAATCTGTAATGCCAATCTCCTTTTCTGTACTTGAGATACTGCGTCAAACTTGTTCTCTTATATGTCATAAGAAAAGAGCTCTGAGAAACTTAAGATGGGACCTTTGTTGTGCCCATTCCTTGCAAACATGTATTTGTGACAATGCATCCAAAATCAGCACTTGAGGGATGAGAATTTTAGATAAAGCCAGACTTGGGGGGAAGGAGGGAGTGACTGTCCTTTGTCCTGTCTGGCAGCTGGAAATGGAGGCAGATGGTCCTGATGGGAAGGAAGCTCAGGGTGCAGTATGTTCTGGAATAAGGAAACATTGGGGTCATATTTTCACAGTAGCAGGGATGGGGTCTCCTACAGCACCTTTCTTGTGTTTCCTTGGGTTAGATCACCAGTATGGGGCTTTGAGAACAGTCAGCTCACAAAGGGTGTGTGTGTGTGTGTGTGTGTGTGTGTGTGTGTGTGTGTGTATTCATGACACCAAGTCCTAACTTTCAAGAAAAAAGTGTGCTATTATCTAAAGTATAGTAAAGTACATACACTCATGTATTTTTCTTCTATGTCTTTCTTTTCCTATTCTTTCATCTCTATCTATTGAACATCTACTATCAGATGCTGTATTAGGGTGTGGGATACATACTTTCTGCTCCCAAAGAGCTAGCTGTCCAGAATTAGGTGAGCATATGGAATGCATAAAATCACATGTTATAATAAAAAACTGATGGACTTATATGAAAGTATATACACAATAAGATTGTACACTCTGAGAGTAGATCTTATGGAGTGTGTGTGTGTGTGTGTGTGTGTGAGAGAGAGAGAGAGAGAGAGAGAGAGAGAGAGAGAGAGAGAGAGAGAGAGAGAGAGAGAGGTAGAGGCAGTACTCAGGACTGACCTTTCTGAGAAGTTAGCATTTATTCACCCACATTCAAATTTGACACGTGTTTGGTGAATCTATGTAATATGCTGGCATTGAGCCATGCCCTAAGTCTTTTAATTTCCATGTCAGGAGCAGAGGGCTCAGCCTCAGATCCTAGGAAGCTGCTGGCTGATAGCTTAGTCTAGCTCATAGGACTACCTCGGTTGAAGGGGGTCTCCTCTCCTAGTGAGTAGAACTCCAGGCAGCGCAACTGTCAATCTAGCCCATGTAGGAAGAGAAGGGACCCTTGCGATAGAACATATAGGAATTTATGGACAGTACGAATGGATTGTCCAGCTGGTCAGGGCACCAAGGAGAAACCAAAATAGATGGCAGAGGACTAGTGGGTCTTGGGGAAAAGCATGTGAGAAGGCATATGGGGGCCAGTAACAAGTGGGAAGCCTTGTTATCACATGTTAATGCCTATGCAAGGTTCCCAGCTCAGAAGAGGCAACCAACCACCAACCGTCTGGTTGACACTGGAAGAGGTCCACTGAGGTCTGCTCTGAGACTGGCTATATGGAGAAGAGTCATTATGGTGACAGAGATGGAGGCTAGTTAGCAACCTAGACCAACTCTGAGTTTGATTGATTATCCCTGAACTCTAGAATTCTAGGCTAATCAATAAATCCTATAGGTAGAATAAAGACATATTCCAGAGACAAGTGTCCCTTTCATGCCTACAGGAATGGACAGAGCAGCATCATCTCAGCACTTATGCCGTGTTTGACTCAGTGGCAAAGGGTCATATGTACGTTGAATAATACTTGTCAATAAGACGGTAGAGTAGACACATGGCCAGGGAATTCATCACCTAGAAGTGCCCGGGCAAAACGTTGGTATCACTTAATAAATGAATTGCAGAGCCAATATTTACAAGAGAAAGGTGCATCCTCCCAATGTGCCATGCACACATCATTTATCTGTCACTGTCACCTCAATAGGCAGAATAAATTAGAAATGACAGGATGGGTTGAAGAGCAGATGTCTTTACACTTCCAGTAACCCACTAGGGAATCTCTGCGTCCTGTGTCAGAAATCACAGTGTCCCGAAATAGGCCCTTTCCCAAAGGAGTAGGCAGAACATACTGAGATATACACTGAAATGGTCACTTAGCACTTAGGACTTCTGGTTTTAAGGAGATGGGCAGCCAGTAAAGAAACTACTGTTGTGCAGGTTACTTGATATTCTTGTTGAGATGGGGAGCTTGCTGTCCCTGTGCAGGGAGGAGAACAGGAAACATGTACATCAGGCAGGTGATCTACGTGGGGGCCTCTGGGTATTGGTTGATTGTAACAGCAAATGGTGAAAGAAGAAAGTGGGTTCCTAAGTGTGCAGAGACTGGGCGCTCAAACCTCTGAGGGTGAAAGGCTGGGATCTGGGTTCGAGAGGGTTACTGAGATGGATTGGTAGGGATATGGAGTTTATATGAGAGTAATGCCATGAACAGACAATAGACAACAGTATGTCATAGGCTTTGAAGAGAGAAAATCCAGGTCCATGCACCAGTTCAGGCCGTAGTGCCAGAGGCAGATAGCATGGCACGGATTCTGAAGAGAGAAATCAGGACCCATATGGCAGATCTTTCCTTATGTCTTCCTGAGAATGGGATGGTTTCAGAGAACAAGCCTGCAGCCAGGTTCTGATTGCCAGGCTCTCTGATTTCCAGGCATTAGTTTGAGAAGGGGGTGGGGAATGGAGTGTGTGTCTACCAACAGCACATTAACGTAAACTCCCTTCCCCAGGTGAGAGACACTGACATTCCTAAGTGTATTAGCTAGAGTTTCAAAGTGTCTCAATAGGTACCTGTCAGCATCTGTGAGAGGGGAAGGGCAGATGCAGGTGGTGTGGTCTGAGCCGCAGCTGGACTCACTGCATCCACACAGAGGGACAAGGACTTTCTATGCCAGGCTACTGAGGCTGAGCTGCCGTGAAGTCTGGTAGGGAAGTGACACAAAGGGCTTGTCTCAGTCTTCACTGCAATCCTTTCTACCTCTGGAGACATCCTGGGGGCCCACATGAAGGGAAGGGAAGTGCCATCCTCATGTCCCTTATGAACAGAATGCACGTAGCTGGAAACTACTAGAGTGCATGGTAGCAGTCAGTAACAACTTTAAAGCCATGAATTCTCAGAGCATGGCTTTGCAATAACTGACTCAGACCTACGCATTTGGGGTCAAAGCCCCCCCCCCCCATATCTGTTGGTCACCAGCTGTGTGACTGTGGACCAATTAACTTCTCTGAACATGGAACTTTTTAACAATGAAAATTGCTGTGGATATCGCTCTGTATAAATAAAATGCTGATTGGCCAGTCGCCAGGCGGGAAGTATAGGTGGGACAAGCAGAGAAGAGAATTCTGGGAAGTGGAAGGCTGAGTCAGAGAGATGCTGCCAGCTGCCACCATGAGAAGATGTTAAGATACCGGTAAGCCACGAGCCATGTGGCAACTTATAGATTAATAGAAATGGGTTAATTTAAGATATAAGAACAGTTAGCAAGAAGCCTGCCACAGCCATACAGTTTGTAAGCAATATAAGTCTCTGTGTGTTTACTTGGTTGGGTCTGAGCGGCTGTGGGACTGGCGGGTGAGAGAGATTTGTCCTGACTGTGGGCCAGGCAGGAAAACTCTAGCTACAGAAAATAAACAATAAACTTGGTTTCTTCAATCATTTGGGGTAAGGGTAATTGAAAACATAAATTAAAGTTATGAAGATGCTGTAAAGACTAACTTTGTTTGAGAATATTCTGTACCACACCCTACTTCCAGACTCAAGATAAAAATTGTAAGAACTTTTTTCTCATACCTCCATGAACTTGTGGGTGACTGAAAGCAGTGATAATGATGAGTCCAGCAATTCTGAGTACGAGGAAGGCCAATAATGATGTTGGAGAAGATGCTAATAAGGGTTCAGCGGGGAATGGCATGGTTAAGTACTTGTGGGTTTGTTCATTTGTTGTTGGCTTTCTAATCATACTAAAGACATAACTATGGAAAACAGGTTTAAGCCATAACAACAAAAATGTAGGTTAAGTAGGAAAAAAGTTACGTTCCATAGGAACAGAATGAGGCCATAGGAAAGAGTAAGAGTACTAAGACAGCTTACCACGTTCTGAGAGAGCATCTGTAGAAGCAGACAGGAGCTGTTTTTATGGAGTAGAGAAAGTATCATTATCATGAGCTGTCCATGTCTGGGCTCAGCACTCCAGAAACAAAGGACGAAAACAAGCAGCAGAGCAGGGAGACTTGGCTCCTTACCTAGTTCTTCTCATTCTGCTTAGGAGAAGTGTAGATGCCTCTGCAAGAGTGCTGGAAGTAACTTATTCATTAAATCCAGTTTCTAAGATGAAACAACATGTGATGGAAAATGCTAAAAGGACCAGCTGGGGATAGGGACTTCCTGTTGGGATGGAGTAGGGCTGTCTGCTTCACAGGCAACCTCCCCGTGAAAGGCCTGATCCCAGCACAGTAGGGGCAGGAGAGCCTCACCTCATCACCAATCCCCCACTCTTGCTAAATGTCTCTCCTCAGCAGCAGGGTGGCAACTGATGCCAAGCTTTTCTAAAGTGATGGTTTCTATGGGAACAGTGGGTTCCTTGGCAGATTCTCCAATGGCTTAGCAACCAAGAAGGCTATTCATCATTCTTTCCACAGTCCCCAGAAAGCCTGTCTGGGTGAAGAAAGATCCTGATCAATGGTTTCCTGGGTGACTGCAACTTCCTCTCTGAAACAGGAAAGCACTGTGTGCCCTATAACTAAGCTCTCACTGCTCCAGGACTCTGAAAGATGCAGCATCAGAAAGACTTCATCCAGATCTTCCTGAAGGCAGCAGTGTTCACAGGAACAACAGCCAGAAATGGTAATGGATGAAAGCTATAGGGGCTGGCTGTGGCAATGGTACAGTACAAATATGCAAGGTCTTAGGTTCAATCCCCGCCTAGCATACATGCACAACCATGTGCGCGCGCGCGCGCGCGCGCGCGCGCACACACACACACACACACACACACACGTTAATGAACAAGTGCAGATGATAAAGAACAGAAAATTTAAACAGAAGAGAAAAGACAGCCACAAAGAGAGTCAGAGAGAAAAACAAAGGCCCTGAATGACAGCACTAATGCGAACATTTCTGAGTCACCTGGTCAAAGTTTGGGGCTCCAATTTTTACTGAAAATTCTGTGCTGTGTTCACACAAGGGCCAGACATTACTGAAAATCCAATAACTCAAGGAGGTTATATAAATTTGTTGAGTAAACCAGATGTGGTGTCTTGCACCTTTAATCCCAGCACTACTGTGGCAGAGGGAGGTAGATCTCTATGAGTTCAAGGCCAGCCTAGGCTACACAGCGAATTCTAGGCCAACCAGGGATACATAGTGAAATGTTGTTTCAAATTTTTTTTTTGCTAAGTAGAGATCCAGGCATAGTAGTTCACACCTATAATCCTGGCAATCAGGAGGATTGCCATGAGTTTGAACCCAGTTTGGGCTACACGGTAAGTAAAGAGCAGGCCAAACATATGTAGAAAAGACCTTGCATCAAAAAACATTGCTAAATAGAAAGCAATGGAAGGAGATAACGTAGACATCAAGCATTCAGGTAGTAATCTTGAGGTCATGCCCTTTGACTATCTCACTGTTTGGCTGACAAAGTACTGATTGGCTTTTGTAGGAGCATGGAATCCTCCTTCTTCCTCGCATGGGGTGTATGCATTGGGGTCTACTGTCTCATGTTATGTGCACAGGGTCCTGCCCCATCATGGTCCTGAGCATGTGGTTACTTACCTTAAGAGCTCTTTGGTATCTGTCTGGTCCTCACTTCTCTGTAGAACCAGCCATAGTGTAATGCCCTGTAACTGGATGGTTCTGTAGAATGAACGGGAGAGGCTATGCCAAATGTTTGTCCACCTTCAACTGGCAACAGTCCTATTCCCAATAAATGTCACCATTTATGAGTCCAGTGGTTTGAATGCAGCAAAATCAACTATGGATTAAAGACATTTACATCAAATACCTGACCTTCTGCGTCCCCTAATTGGTTATCTAATGCAAAGTAGTCAGCCCTGAATTCATATACACAGGAACCATACTAAACTGACTCAGCAGGTTGTATGTATATATTTATACATATATGCATATTTAACAATTATAATCAAAGAAAAATAATATCAATCAGAGAGGGAATAATAGGAGATATGGGAGAGGTTTGAAAAATGTGACATGACAGGAATTAGAGGGAGGAAGAGGGAAGGGGTAAAGTCATGGAATTCTATTTTAATTAAAAATTTAAAAAGAAACCTAACTAAACACTAACCTGCCAGCTAGCCAGAAAGCAGCATTCCCTTATGATTTCTGTTCAACTTGCTGCTTGAGATCCTGTCCTAACTTTTCTCAGTGATAGGATTTAACTTGTAAGCTGAAGTAAACCTGTTTCCCTAAATTGCTTTTGGTCAATGTTTATCACAGTGGGAAAGAAACCTAGAGCACCAGCCTTGGGGGCATTTGCAGGTGTTCCTCTAGTGAGGAGCTCCCTCCTTGTGACTTGCCTCCCCTTGTATTTTCTGGCATATTCAGTGGAGAATTCTTAAGCCTACTACTGTTCCCATTTCATAACACTCTGGGCTGGGCACCACTCTGATTTTCTCCCACAGTCTGTGCAAGAAGAGAAGGTGGGGCAGGGTGAGCACATGCTCTGGGCACGTTAGGAGGAGAATAGAGGAGTGGTAGATGATAGGAAGAGAGGGGAGAATTATTGGGGTGCCTCTAAAAATCCTTGACCTTTATTCCATGTCTAGGCTTCTGGTGAACCTCCTTGAAAAAATTGATAATCCAGAGTTCAATGAGATCATTTCCACGATGCTGCCACCCTCCCTTCCTCCAACATGCCAAGCAGCATCAAGAGTACTGTCTACCTCTGGGTGCTTGGAGTGAAGCCTGGGACAGGGCAGCACACACTGTGTGTTTCTCTGAGGATCAACAGGTGTACGTACGTGCCTGCTCTGTTGAGACTCTGGAATCTGAAGGGGGAGGGGGACAGTCAAAGCCATCACATGTAACGCCGACGTGTTGGTGTTGTAATCTCTTCACTTTTGTTTCTTAAAGCCAAATGATGATCTTAGGTGGTTTCTAACCAGAGTCTGGCTCCCACTTAGGGGGCAAGCTCGGATTCTCCAGCTGTGTTATAGGGCATCAGCCGCAGGATGGAAGAGATGCAGATCCTCTGGCTGAGTTTTCCAAAGCTTCCTAAGGCTGAGGGAGAAGGATCTTCCAGGCATGCTTTTCTCTGTCCTAGGAAAGGTCATTGCCTGCTTGCTGCCAGCTTGTCAAGAGGATGCTTTTCTTTTGAGATTGCTCCCACACTGTTCTCTCTGCCCACCTACTTCACTTTCTGTGAAACTGACTTCCTGTTTTGTGAGTTCTCAGGCTAATGGAAGATTATAGCCTTCTTGCACTTCCCTTCCACCTGTTATCTGAGCTTGAACTCGAGTAGAATGCGACTCCTTGTAACAGTCTTTGGGTTTGAGGGGGGGTCTGCTTTCCCAATAATATAGAATATTAATGAAAGCTCTTTCGAACAAGTGATTGGAAAGCATGCTCTTCAAGGTAGAGATGATGTACAGTAAACAATACACAGCCTCCAGAGAGAGTACCATCTGGAAGACTTGCTCAGGTTCCAACTTTTGAAGAATTTTTAAAATATTTAATGTCAAATTACATAGAATATATTCAAGGAGTAGAATGTGGCAATAATTTGACATACATACATAGTAAGTAATGAATATTTCAATTGAATTAATGAACAAACATTTCACCAATCCTGCTCAGCTTCAGTTTGCCAGAACCTGCTCATCACTAACTGCAAGCTTTCATCCTCTGGCTGCTATCATCCCATTTGCCCTAATGTCCAGCCTCTGGTGGCCACCATGCTGATCATTGCTTCTCCAAACCATATCACATTTGTCCTTATGTATCTGGATTATTTTCCTTGGTAACATATCTTCCAGGGTGATATTTGCTTTGCACATGCCACAGTCTCCTTTCTAAAACAAAATATCCCATTGTATACATTTCCCTAATCAGATATTACCCTACATCTGTTGGTATGTTAAACTAAGAGATAATAAGAGTTGGCAGAGATGTAGAGAAAAGGGAATCGTTGTGTAGGCGGTGAGCATGTAAACCAGCATATCCATTGGGGAAAGCAGTATGGTAGTGCCTCAAATTTTGAGCATAGAATTATTGTATGATCCAAAAATCTTACACGTAGTGAAGTATCCTAAAGACTTGAAATGAATATATAGAAGATACAGCTCTTTCCCATATTCTGTGCAGCATTAGTCAAATAGCCAAGACAAATGTGTCAATCCATGTATAAATGAATTTTAAAAATGTATTTATGTTCCATGTGATGGTCTCAGCCCCTCTTCTTGCCCAATGAGCTACCTTAGAACACTGTTGCTGTATGCCCTCCAATTCCTCTCTTTGTATGCTTCTCCATCCCTGTACCTGCTGCCTACAAGGATCCCTCCATTCCCTTAAAAGCTGTACAGCACCACTCTGACTTGACACATAAAACCTCTCAGGCCACTTTGTTAAGAGGCTCCATTCATACTGAAGACACAACGAGAATGGTGATACTGGACAAGTTCTCTGACATCCTTGGAGATACTCAGGGTCATCTGAGGAGTGGACAGACTCTTATGCACTAAATAAAAAGAAAAATAAGACACAAAGATGCCAAAAAGATGAGTGAGGTGCTCCGAGTTTGAAATCTGGAGAAGATGTTACAGGTGAGAGTGAAGGATGATACAGATGGAGTTAGATCATTACTCAGCATGTTGATGTGTCCCAAAGCTTAATAATATGCAACCTAAGATGTAAGAATTTATCTTAACTAACAGGGTAAGGGGTCCACTGCATTTGGCAGGGAAATTGTGCTGACAGGAGCATTAGGCAGCTGGTCACATTACATCTACACAGTACATGGATGCTGACGCTCTGCTCACCTTTTCTTCTTTCTTTGTTATTCAGTCTTAGAGCCCATACCGTGCAATGGTTTTGTTCACATACAGGGCCTTTCATATGTGCTTAAGCTTTTCTGGAAACACTCTCAGAGACACATCTGAAGGAGTCTGTCTTTGCAGGGGGAATCTAAATCTTAGGAATTGAGACTCAAGATTAACCATAGCAAGAGTCTAAACTCTTAGTTTGTGAATTACGTATTAATGAAATTGTTTAAGAGGTCCTTAAAGCAAAGCAAGGTTTCAAAGTTGACTCTCATCTATCACAATGTTTGATACCTCCAGGCAAAGGAAAAAAGTTTCTGCAAATGAAAAAAAAAGAAACAAAACAAAAAAATGCTTAGGAAAACTGATGTGGCTGTTTCTGGTGACTTATGGAAGTTCTATTTCTCTTCTCACTGGTGAATTCTCCTCCGTGCCTTTGTGGAGTAGGCTTCCTTTAACCTTTGAG